TATATATATATATATATATATATATATATATATATATATATATAATGTGCCTCTACACGATATATTACAGCATAATGGCATGTACTATACACATAGATCCCTATCTTACTCCATCGGTCATCGTTCTAAAAAAATTTCTAACACTGATGACGCTATAATCGTATATTTGCACATTAACGTGATATTTCTGATCATTTATTTACGCCGTGTTGATTTAACCCTGTTTTCATCGTCCAATCCTTCATGGATTTACTCCTACTTCACAGAGTTAATGTATCCGCGATAGAGCATGTCACGGCTACGTACGTTGACCTCTATCCCATTCATATCCGATAGTAAATGTAACTGATGTACTAGATGTGGCTAAACAGCGTTATCGCGCGTCATCTGGTAAATAACCAACTATTCGTGACTCTCCGACAGTCTACAGAAGACCGCGTGAAGTAAACCAAACATACATGCATAACTAATATAAAGGCATAACTAGTAAACCAATTGCAAACAGTACTTGTATTGACACCCGCCTATAAACCGCCAGCACTTGCATTTTTCACGAGCCGGTCTCATGTTAGTAAAATAGTTGCTGTTCCGTTGTCAATAAGCGAATTTACGCGGAGGTAATATGTTCGGCTGACGCGTAACCAAAATTATTGAATAATTTCGTGAAGTCAATATGAGACATAGAGGCGCACGGTGTCTAACAACGAGCTACGTGCCATCGAAATCACACATGTGTCCCTGCCACCTTCTTTAAATCCGAGCCCATTAAAATAAGTTTATATGCGTTACCTACAGTTCATACAAGTTCACATGAAAAATGTCACCACTAACCGATTAGTGATATTGCTGCGGTGTTTGCACTACTGTCAAAATAACTATATATATATATATATGTGTGTGTGTGTGTGTGTGTGTGTGTGTGTGTGTGTGTGTGTGTGTGTGTGTGTGTGTGTGTGTGTGTCGTGTGTCGTGTGTCGTGTGTGTGTGTGTGTGTGTGTGTGTGTGTGTGTGTGTGTGTGTGTGTGTGTGTGTGTGTGTGTGTGTGTGTGTGTGTGTGTGTGTGTGTGTGTGTGTGTGTGTGTGTGTGTGTGTGTGTGTGTGTGTGTGTGTGTGTGTACGTGTGTGTACATTATTCGTCTGGGTTTAGTTTACATAACCAAAACGTTCTGCCCAGTTTTCTTTCATGGTCAAGTACCTACACACCGAGTGATGCTGTTTGTTTGTCATGTATATACTTTGGTGCCATGTTACTCGTTGTATTATTAACGCAGTTACGTGTGACACTACATTACCCTAAAGCACGGGAACGATTACATTCTCGCTTAACTACAAAATTAACATACAAATAATCGAAATTATCCCAAGTGAATTTGTACAGAGAAATGCACTTTTTCCGACAGTTTCTACACCCAACCAGGCCATCTTGTAGTTATGCTAATTTAACCTACGTTTAAAGTAGCTCGTCGTTCGTCATCGTTATTAATAGAATAAAAAGCTAAAATCGGCTATGCAGAGCATCTTGAACAGTTCGAGTCATTTTTCAGAAGTAGGTTTGGCCGTAGGATATATCTGGCCAGTATCTAATACAGTAATCTCTGTTTCTCGTGCTCGGATTGAGAGGCATATATGTTTTATATATATATATATACATATATATTCAGTATCACGATGCTGAGGCAAAAGGCGTAAATTATCTGGAATTAATCCGATCAGAGCTCATTAATACAAAGTTCACAATACCTTTAATCTAATATACTGGTCTGCGCGCGTCATAGATGTATAATAAGCAGAATCTGCCGTTTTCTAGTGAAGCCATCTTATATAAACACGCCCACGTAATGATAATAAATACAACCATTTAACATGTTTTGCAATTCTGAGAGGTCTCGCCAGGTTTGAGTCTTTTAGCATGTAAAAACGCCTGCAGTCGGCTGGCAACAGCTAGAGTAATACCAGTAAGAAAGGTCATGTTATATGGCCGATCCATATCATGTGGATAATATGAAATGAGGTGTTTACAAAATAAATATTATATCAAGTCATTGACGTAAGCTTCACGTCAAAGCTTAGCTGCAATACTATACCCCACCGGCAACAGGATCCAGTCCGGCACACGTATCCATGCGAACAAGCACGCCCGCACGCACGCACGCAGGCGCGCACGCGCATGCACACACACACACGCACGCACGTAGGCACGCACGCACGTAGGCACGCACGCACGTACGCACGCGCGCGCGTAGTGTATGGATTGCACTTGATCCTGTTGCGGGTACACGCACGTACACGCACGTACACGCACGTACACGCGGGTACACGCACGTACACGCGGGTACACGACTGTACACGCACGTACACGCGGGTACACGCGGGTACACGCGGGTACACGCACGTGCACGCGGGTACACGCACGTACACGCACGTACACGCGGGTACACGCACGTACACGGCGTGCACGTGCGTGTACCCGCGTGCACGTGCGTGTACCCGCGTGCACGCGCGTGTACCTGCGTGTACGTGCGTGTACCCGCGTGTACGTGCGTGTACCCGCGTGTACCCGCGTGCACGTGCGTGTACCGCGTGTACGTGAGTGTACCCGCGTGTACGTGCGTGTATCTGCGTG